CAAGGACCATAGCATTAGATAGGTCGAAGGCCTTTCACAAGGTGTGATACAAAATTTTGCTACTCAAACACTCAAGTTATGGAACCAAGGCAAGTGTCTTCTCGATTATAAAATCCTGAATGGAAGTATTAAGCGTATTTGATTTATATAAATGACTAGCAGTAGAGCCCGGCGTTGCCCGGGGGTGTAACAATAAGAGATAGATCAAGTATCGACCATCATAAAGACTGAAAAATAAAATTGACAAAGATTATTGTTTAAGGTTGACGGACACGCATGTCTTAATTAGTTTCTTTTTTACGAATTGGTCAAACACAAACTCAAACAAAGACATTGTTTTCAATTGTTATGAGTCTACTGATTGAATAGAATTGTATTATAAACAATTGTCTTGTAAATGGATTATTTAAAGGATTCTGAATGTAAAAATAAAGAAAAAAGTGTGCAAGATAATAAGAAACACTACCTGCCAAAAAAAAATGAAGTTATGTTGAAATCGGTTGAAAAATGTAGGAAATCCGATCCCATATATAAACGAACACACACACACTCACGAACAACCTGGGTTTTATAATAAGTATAACTCGATATGAGTTGTCTCCCTTTCATTCTCGTGATGCCTCTTAATCGTGTTTTCAAATTGATTTCGTGCAAAAACAATTGTCTATTTCCAATTTTGGCGCTGTCAGAATAACCGCAAGATAATTTTACGTAGTCCTGTGAAATTTTGTTGAAATCGGTTGAAAAATGTAAGAAATCCGATTCAATATATAAACGAACAGGCACACACACACACACATACACAACCTGGGTTTTATAATAAGTATGATCTGATTAGGAATATACTCAGATCATTTATAAACATGTATGCCAATGAAACGACTATATACGATTGAACCTCTAAGACTCTTGATAATCAGAGATTGGCTGCTGATTTCTCTTCAGATCTTGCTCGAATTACCCAGTAGGGAATATTCAATGCCGCAAAAACCAGTTACTGCTATATCCCGTGTTAATATGAATATATACTTGACAATCACGGTCGATAAAATAAGTAAAGTGTTATTATAAAAAAACGGTACAATAAGAAGTAATGTAACAGTTATGCGCACGGTCGTCGCAAGTCTATTCCGTAGTGAGTGCTAGCATTGGAATGTCGGCAGTTCTCGCGTAAGTCTGAGTCGTACTCGACAGTGCTCAGCTAGACGGCATCTAGCAACTGCCCCACGCAGTCACATGTGTCATAAAGCCGAATTTAATCTGGGGTTCCCGAGCCCGTATGCTAGGCCAAAAAATCCCCGTTGACCCCGCATAAACGGACCCGACCTCTCTACCTCCGACGGACGAGACACAGCCCTTCGGCATAGCCTCGTCCGGGGTCCTCTCTGCCCAGAGTCAGAGTTCTACCAGCACAGCTCGAACAGATCCCAGTTAGTATATTTAGCTACCCACCCAAAATGTTTGCATGTGGCACAAGGCCGGTTTAACGTGGGTTGTCCGAGCCCGTACGCTCGGCAAAAAATATTCATTTTTTGAACCCGCATAAATGGGTTCATAGGGGCAGTTAACCTTCCCGAAAGAGACTCTGCCCTTCGGCGAGCCACGCCCGGGTTCCTCTCTGCTCGAAGGCAAAGAGTTCGACTGTGTAGCTGGAACAGGTCGCAGCTACTATATTTAACTATCCCCCCCCACACACGATGGTTGCATGTGGCACAAGGCCGGTTTAGCGTGGGATATTCCCTTTTGAACCCGCATAAACGGGTTCAGGTCAGTCTACCGACCCGAACGAGACTCTGCCCTTCCGCGGCGCCTCGTCCGGCTTCCTCTCTGCGCGAAGGCAGAGAGTTCGACTGTCTAGCTGGAACAGGTAGCAGCTAGACTCCGTAGTCTGTTGACTTACCGATGTTTATAGTTAGTAAATACCTATAGTGTAGCTACTCATGGGTGTGACAGTTACATCAGTTACATTCCATCATCGCTGATCAGGCCCCAACCGTTAGTCAGGTTTAATGGAGGTCCACCCGGTGAGGCATCGTGCCTTGAAAGACTGTTGGTCCATAAATTCGCACCAAGCTCAAGTGGAACTCATACATAGGCTCCATCACTAAAGATGCAAGTAAAATAGTCAAAACCGTGTACCAATCTAGTAAGTAGCTGACTCCTTATGTATCATCTACCTTCACAAGGATCAGATCAGGCCAAAATGGAGTACTGCTTTCATATTTGGTTGGGATTTCTAATGGCCTCTCTCCCCAGCCTTGATAGAGTCTAAAGTCGTCCTCGGTGACAAAGTATTTTCCACCTCCCATCTCTCTCTCTCTCTCTCACACACACACACACACACATGTGGGATGCGGTAGCCTCTCGCTGCTCTATTGCTACTTCCACGGAGAATTCTCGGACGAACTACATTCCTTTGGTACCGCCATTCCTGACCTTTATGCCAAGAAACCACCATGCCATTTACATAGTAGCAAACCGCTCATATTCCCGCCGTATTCCACTGGAGAGAATAAGTCCCACTCAAACAGCTTCTTCCCGCGAACAACTGCTCTATGGAAGTGACTCCCATGAGGATTTGTCCCCGGTCACTGAAAACTTAACCTCTTCAAATTTAGAGTTCTCCTCCTATCCGTAGAAATCATCTGTTAACTTAACCCTCTAACTCATGTTACCCCAGGGACTTGTAAATTGTTTTGCTTTGTTTGGTTTTTATTTTACGGCATATCAAGCTCAATGGGATATTTAATGCCGACAAAATTTTTATTGCTGGTTATAGGTTTTTCTTCAAAAATCTATTCCTGGGAATATTCCTCCTTGAAGAAATCTATAGCTGGTCATATTTTTTTCAAAGAATGTATTTATTCTTTGTATTGCTGATATTTTTTTTTTAAGTATTGCCGATAATAATTTATCCTTCAAAAATTATTGCTGATAATATATTTTTTTTATTACAAAGTATTTCTGGTATTAAAAAATATTTTTACAAAATTTTGGGTGTTAACTATTTGACCATAACTGGGAGCCTATCAGATGCTACCACCCCGGGTCAGGGTAGACCTGGGAACACCAGCAATTAAGACGTGGTTCCACGCTCCTCAAAACTTCTTGATCAGAGTTCTTGCTGTTGGACGTAGTTTATCGTCTTACCCAGGACGCGGATGTAGTTTATAGTCATACCCAGGACGCCTTGTAAAGGGTGGTATAACTGTAAAAAATAAAATAAATACTGTAAATAGGTAACTAACTCTCTCTATTTAATTGATTCATTGAGTCTGATAGAAACCTCAACAGGAAAATAGAGGAAGCACTGGACGGCCGTTTCGTTCTATAATTGGGACTCATCAGCAGTGCGCATCCACCACCAAGTATCGAAACCCTGACAGTTGGGTTGTCAAGCGAACAACATACCAACTGTACCAACTGTGCCTCGGTAACGAAGAGATTCCTAATCAGACTCAACTAGCGCCGCTCGCTCACATATTCCGTGGCGGAACTCTACTGAGTTCGCTGTAACCGCAGGACTGTGCCCCCGGGAGCCACGACTACTCTCACCAAGCCGCGCCGACTGGAGCATTAGATACTTGGTGGTGGATGCGCACTGCTGATGAGTCCCAATTATAGGACGAAACGGCCGTCCAGTGCTTCCTCTATTTTCCTGTTGAGGTTTCTATCAGACTCAATGAATCAATTAAATATAATTATCAAATCCTCCTACTTATTATATATATAGTGTGTGTGTTTGTGCAAATTGTTTTATACACGATTTTTATTTATAATAGATATAGATAATAGTATAGAGTGTGCGGGTTTTATAAAAGATTTATCGATTATTTTTACTTACAATGAGAAACATTTAAAACAAATTTTCTGATATTAATGTTTTTAATGTCCAAAACTGAAAACCTTCGCCGGCTCCGAAAAAAAAATCTATCTCCACTTCATTCTATTTGTGTCAGTGTTCTGAAATCATGACCGCTCTCCTGTCAACAATATTAAGCGATACTGCTCACAGTCTGTCGAGGACTGGCTTTTCGTTGATGTCTCTTGTGCACTAATAACTGTGTATATAGTTGCAAGGTTTTCACGGAGTTGCTTCACACCATTTTCCAAAAAAGCAGCTGCTTTTTGCGTGACGCTGATCCCCACATGGTTTAGCAGAAACAAATATCCAGCTGTGGAATCGTCAAATAGTTTCGTTAAGATACAGAAAGAACAAACTTGACAGACGTGATGGTGTGCGAAAATGTTAAACGCAGTAAATTCAAGGTCATATCTTCGTTCTAACCAGAGAATCTGACGTGGCTAAGTATCTGAGAGACGCAATATCTGGTGTCTTTTTCTAAGTTAATGTTTTCATTTAATGCATATTAAATAAGATTTTACGCTATTATTCGTTTGACGACGTAAGCATGTACATTATCTTCGTTTATATATCAATTTTCCACTTAAAGAAATTGAATATAATCGGAAGTTTCTTTCTGTTAATGCGGGTAATGGATGTGCACAGTGCTTCGAAAATACACGCATGTCTATCTCCCGTTTCACACTCCTCACACATCTTTGGAGCAGTTCCTAGTTTCCTGTTTAGGATTAGGTTTCCGATTCTAATTAAATATTTCCTTCTCTTTCACTTCCGATGGTAAGGTATATCTTGGTGGCTTTATCGCCATGCTTTGTGAAGTGCTTCTTATTCAGTAACGCTCTACCTTCGAGTGGCTCATGGCACTTGTGCAGGGTGAAAATTATTGTAAATAGGGCCAGTGAAGAGACCTATTTTAATATCCATTGAAAATAGGTTCGTTATAGAAAATATTAACGTAATATAAATACAATAAGCCTCAGCAATATCCTAAACTCAGTTCAGTGATTGCACTTCCATATTATCTCAGAATAAGCCGTTCTAGTCCAAATTTTGAAGATTTTATGATGATTTTTGTTTTAATAATGCAATATAAAAGATTTTCCCACTATTTGTCTTACCCAATACGACCGGAGGCTTACGACCACATCACGTTGCAAAATCGGTTCCCGTATGATCGCCGGAGTTAAGCAACGTCGAGCCTCGACAGTTCCTAGATGGCTGACTCCTTGGGAATAGCAAGTGCTGTAAGCTTGGATGTAAGGGTGCGAGAAAGAATGCGGCTAGGAATTGTTAATCAGAGTTAGTCATATTCATTTACGCTCAAATGCCCTTGGGAAAGATCCACCTCTTCTCCCTCTAGCTATGTGTTAATTATTAACACATGTATCACTAAAACCATAATTGTCCCCTGCCCAAATATAGATAAATAAAATTCCGTACAAAATATTTAGATTTAGGCAGTAAAGGACACATAGAAATGTTGATACACCACAAAACAAAAACAAAACGCCTTTACGACTGGGATGTTCAAATGTTAAAACCTTTGGAGAATAATTATTTAAAATGAAAATTACGAAATATTTATTTTGAAACAATGCTACTTCCGGGGATCCGAATAACACATTTTGTCCACCTTTGAGAGAAAAAAAATTCTACTGAGTTTTTTCTAAAAAAAAATATAATTTGTCGAACACTCCTGTGAGGATGCTTTCCTGAAGATTCCAACCAGTATCATTTTAAGGCTCAATTGTTATCCATTAATCTTATACTCTTCACACCCTACCCCCTCCTCTTTCATCCATATTCACAACACGTTTATCATAAGCTAGGTAGCTGTAACACTCGAAATTGACTCTCTCTTGAGCCCTGATGGGGATTAGTAAATGTGTTTGGTTAAATCAGAAGGACTTTTTAGGTGACGTGTAAAATAACATTCATTCACAATAAATAATAAACGAATATTTAGAACAGGTTATGCAAAGCAGAGTTAAAAACAAAGACAAGGAAAATACACAATACGGTAATTTATATACAATTTAAATATATACAAATGAGTTATGAATTGGTGATTTGTTGTATATTGATGTAATATGAGATGTAGTTTGTTGTTGAGCATGTTTGAATGCTTAAATCAGTGTTTTGATGATTTGTTGTAAGAATTAAACAGTTTGCTGTTCAACGTACAAAAGTGTTCGATTTTACAGTTCAAACGTTAGTGTGTGTACACGAGTGTTATGTAAAATATTCTTACGTTGTACGAAGTTGAGTACCTTGAACTGTTAATTGTTAAAAGTTTTGTTTGTTACTGTTACTAATATGTAGTGAATATATATTTCACTTTCTCAAGTAAAGTAAATGAATTTTTGAGAAGTTTGTTTAAAAGAGAGATTTAGTATGCCAACAGGTTGTTGGGTCAGGGGTTAATTCGCGCGGGAAAGTCAAAGTTTAAACTGGCGTGAAATTGGTTGAGTGTGGAATTCTGACTGGTAAGTTGATTCGACTTTCTTTCTTTTATAGGTTCTGGAAAGGAAAAGTAGGCTCAAACACATTTGAGCACCAAAGGTATTTTTCACGTGTAATGGTTTGCGAGCTTGTCTCGCTAGCACAATTACGAAGTGTAGTGAGTTCAATCCTCACTGGGTGCCCCATACTTCCGGCCTTGTGCCACATCTGAGCTACACTTTGTAAATCTGTACTTAGTTTTTTTAAGGCTGTTAGCCAATGAGAAATTGAGTTTGTGAGAACTAGTGTTTTGATTGGATTGGGTTTAAGAATGGATTTTTCTGCAAAGGGGTGAAAAGGTAACATGGATTATTCCACAAGCCTTCATTTGATTTAATATTTATTTTTTATTCAGGGAAACGTTCATCCCACATTCCTTTGTACTTGTTTTTTGGATAAGAATAACCTTAAATACATTAAATTACTTCCTAAATTTATAAATTTATTATTCTCATTCTCATGAGATTGCTACAATTTTGAAGCTCACTTTCCTCGTGGTGAGTTCTGGAAATGTCAATTTTCATTTCTTGGTGGTTACTATAATCCCTACCATTAGAGAACCTCGAGGCAGTGTAATAGCAAGTTTGTATCGCTAGAATAATTACGATTGAGTAGTGAGTTCGATCCTCACTCTGTGCCTCCTACTTTTGGCCTTGTGCCACATCTAAGCTACGCCCGGAAAATCAATATAATACCTTACCATTTTCTTCACAGCATTTATACTTTATACTTTGGAATTCGTTATAAAATATTTTCAAACTATCTGACGAAATTGACATCTTGCTAACTTGTATTAATAGTTTCATATCTAGAAAGCTGCGTCGTTAATTATTCATAATTGCAGGAAAATTATTGGGCCGTTAAATGAGCGCAAATCTCTCGTTAAAAGTGATTGCATCATACTTTTCTGACTTTAAAGATTTACTATTTTAAGAGATATGACTAGTAAATAATTTATGATGTAATAATTATAAAATTTTAATTTAAATTTAGGTACACCATATAAGATATGGTACAGGTCCAGAACTAGTTTAATTGGTCCCAGTGAGTAGATCTGGATAGAGATGTCAGCAAAATGTCTGAAACAAACGGAGTGTCAAATGGAAAGTTTTGCCATTGACGCCACTATTATTTTAACTACCTTCCATTCTTGGCAATGTTTGTTGTTTTAAAAGCCTATGCTTAGAATTGTAAGAAAACATAAACACATGAAACAGAATTTATACATTCTCTTTCTTCTTGAGAATTTGCAACAATATGTTTATATATTAATTACTATTTATTTATTACATTGTTTATTTACAAGAATAATTTCATATTTTCAACATAATAAAACCTAATACAATTAAATCTAAAGCACTGTAATATTTATCATTTACCAATTTATAACGAAATAAATATGAAAAAAAATTACCCAGGAATTTATAAATATTTATTCGATTATTAATATATGTGAAACAAATATAAGGAAATATTTATTATTGTTTTATAATGGTTGAATCAACTGGAAATTAACCGATGTTTTGCTAACCATAACCAATAAACAATATAATAAATAGTGTGTATCATTTTTGTCGTCGGTCTTCAGAAACAAAGAAAAGGTATAAACTTAAAATCGTATGCTGATGTTTTATTACAGTTAAAATGATCACTATTTTAAAACCGAGGAGTGAAGGTAGTTAAAATAATAGCGGCGTCAATGGAAAAACCGTCCTGTTGACGTTAGTTCTTTAACTATGTTTTTTTTTTCCCAGTGTGTGTAGCATTAGCACATTTTAAGAAAATAAACAAAGAGTAATATACAACTTCGGAAGCAGCTGGTTGTTTACAACGGAAAATATTAAAAAAAATATTTAAAAGCAAAGAATGAAATATCATTTCGTTTTAACTGCAATAATATTACGATTCTTGTTTCTGAGTAGACATTCCTGAAACAGCAAGTCTGTTGAATACAGATCACGGAATAAACAATACGCTGCAAATATATGGTTTGCCAATCTAGTGTCCTGATTGGACAATCCTAAAATAATTACATACCATTCTGACAGAAATATCAGTCGTGTTTCTATTTTTGTAAGGCGTTAGTTTCCGCAATCTATGCCCAGTTGACGGTGACATAATACATGAGAAATATACCTTGCACAAGAGAGAAAAAATATGATCGTTTGGGGAAAACGGAAGAAAATTAGTGACACAAATGATAACAAATTATATCTTTAAGTGTGAGGCGTAATCATTAGAAAACATGTTCAGTGTAACGAGAAATCATATCTTCCGTTTACCATGCAGTATTCTAATTACAAATCTCATTGATATGTATTACGTGCTGTGTGCTCTTTTCTTCTTTGGGCTTACTCTGATAGATATCTATCTCACTTCACTAACACGAATATATATATATATATATATATATATATATATATATATATATATATATATATATATATATAGACAGAGAGAGAGATAGCTGAATTCGAATTCAGTCGAATCCATTGCATTCACTTACGTGCTAATATCCTTGAGAAAGGTATGAATCCTTTTCTTCTCCCTCCAGCTATGGGTAAAATGTTCCTAATAGTGTCGGGTAAATCTGAGTGTGTGTCTTACGTTACACCTATCTGATCACAGCTCCATCAGAACACATTTAAACATGTATAGCTATACAACCACATGTTTATCCAGACGTCTTACGTTACACCTATCTGATCACAGCTCCATCAGAACACATTTAAACACACACTCAGATTTACCTGACACTATTAGGGAACATACTAGTAGAAAACACAAATATATTAACTGCATCCGCTTGCAAAAAAAAAAAAAGACTAAAAATAATGGAAGCTCTAATAATAAAAAAGAAAAAGCCAACTCTTAACAATATTAACTATGAACAAAGCCACAATGTGCTAACCGTATTCGGAAATTAAAAACATCACTACCACACACTGAACATACACAGAACACACACACTCTACTAAGCTGATAATCGAATCATCCTTGATAATGGCTAAAGGTATAGCCGAAAGCGCTCGGAAATATAGAACATTCGGACAGTTCTTACACACCCTTTGTCCAGAAAAGAAATCTCTTGTCAGAACACAAGAATAATTAAATAAAAAGCTCAACCGTAGTACCTTGTCTGTCGTTTTTAATGAAACATGCATATATATATATATATATATATATATATATATATATAATTTGTGTATTTACGCAGCAATCCTTCTTTCATGCACATTTCATTAAAGACGATACACAATGTGCTTTTATTTACTTTTTAATACATTTTCTCATGCGATGTAAGTTTTTTTTCTTCTTTTCAGATGCTAAATTATCTAAAAACTATCCGAATGTTCTTTTAATCCGAGCGCTTTCTGCCATACAATGCTGAAATATTTTAACTGTTTAAATAAGAAATAGTTTGTTGAGTGAATTTATCGTTGTCATATTAATATTCCAATATGTGAATTAAAAATTAAAGTCAGTAGAATTGTAATAAATATTTTTAAAAATGAGTATCGATGAAGTGTTTTAACAGAGGACTGAAACTCTGATGGCGCATTGTGACAGCGAAATAAACCTAGAAAAGGTGGAGTAACATATTAAGAAACAGTAACATTTCGTTAGAAACAAAGAAAAGATTGTTGAACTGTTATCTATCTATATAATACATAAAGTCAGTGATTGTGTGGTGCGTTGTCCGCCGGTACATAGTGATTTAAGTTTCTTTCTAACTGTCTCTTTCCGCCTCTCCCTATTTCCACCTCTCTCTCTCTGTCTTTCCATCTCTCACATTACACCTCTCTCTTTTTACGCCTCTCTCTCTCTCTCTCTCTTTCCATCTCACTGTGATTGCGTGCGTGGTGAGCCCGCCCGGTGTATAAGTTAATCTGATTTAAGGGAATAAGATTTTAAAATTCGCGTTGTTCATAGGGTAAGTATTTTTATTTTAACTTTCTTCAAACAGACAATTTTTAAATTAAAATATTTTTCATTTAAAGGCAGACAGAAATAGATCGTGCTTTGCTGTTTCGTTGTTTCTAGAGCAATTATTTACATATAAGCTTTCTTTAAACAAACAATATTTTAAATCTGTCTATATTTCTGAGATGACGTATTATGTACATTACATTATTCGGACTATTGTCCTCATCTATGTCGACATATTTATCACAATGTTTCGGCCGTTAAACGCTCCGGCCTTTTTCATGTGGTTGGAATGTCGAACTGAACCCTTTATTTCGCTCGCTGGGGTAGACTGTTCTAGTTCCACGTGTCATGTCTAATAGATGTCAATTAGTTGCGTTTATCTACCGTGCTATGTGTCCTCACGGACGACATGGCACAGTGCATAAAGGCGTTAGTTAGATACAGTGACAGGACCCAATGAGTGAGAGTTCAATACCGGCTTAAGACGGTGGAGAACTTGGAGACGGACATTAACAGGAGATAACTGATAACTAACATCCATTAGACAGCAGTTAATACGGGGTAATCTAATTGATGAAGTATAGATTTGATGCAACAGAAATGTGGTATGAGTCCCGGTGTGTTTTTGACTATGTGTCTGTGTGTGTGTCATGCGGAAGCTTCTCATTTGGTCAGATGACAGGAATATATACGTGAGTAATGCGACTTTGAAGACCTAATTTTGAGGTATAAAATTAGAGTATGTATTGTTGGTCCTGGCTACGCCATTGACCACTCTATATATCCATTTACTGTAGTCAAATTAGCTTCAAAATTAGGCCTATAACGGCCGCATGATACGTGAGTACATACACTAGATATTCTGCTAGAGAGATGCTATCTATGTTTGGGAATTTAATGGAGACAGATATTGTAAATGTTGAAAAGATCATTAAGAAAGAACGTGAGAAGAATTTGAAGGAAAACAAAAATAATCTGGGTAATATTTGTTTCTTTTAGCAGAAAAATAAACCTCGATGGATATGTCGATTATTTTGAAGACCTACCTCAGGTACCGATATAAATGTTAAAGTTTGCTGTGTACAAAGTCCTAAATATATATACTACGTGACCAGTGTCATTTTCATAAATTCGTCAAATCTCTGAGGGATAAAGATTTTTTTTTTGTTGGGTGGGGGTGTTAGAATAATACTTTTTGAAATCAACGTATATAAAAGAAAACAACCTTGAAGGCTATTATTAAGTAAAATTGACAAACAATTGAATATTTGCTTGTGGGGAAGGAACTTTATTGATCTTGTTTCTTGCGAATTAATTTGTGTCTGCCTCGTAAATGCTCGTAAATGCGTATTTGGTCAGATGACAGGAATATATACGTGAGTAATGCGACTTTTGAGGTATAAAATTGGAGTATGTATTGTTGGTCCTGGCTACGCCATTGACCACTCTATATAAGAACCACATTTATTGCAGCCACGGCGGCAATGGTATGTCTAGTGTATGATGGGATCCAACCCATTTCAGATTGATTTAAGAGTTTTTTCTATGCAGATTGCTGCCCAGTATGTCCTGGTCATACCTTTTCCCAATGTAATACTGAGAAGTGAACAAAACAGAATCAAGCGAGAATTGAACTCTGTTGGCCAAATTCATTTTCTGCCTCCATATCCATTACATTATCCGTGATTCCTAAATTATTTTAAGCTTTCGAAAAAAAAACATCGTATTTATAAGTTTATAGAAGTGGTTATATTTATTAGTACGGAAAGGAATTTGAGATCTGTTTTCAAATTCCGGTCTAGAAATTCAAGGATCCATTTCTTCGTATCCCCCAAATATGGATTAAATACTAGGATTGATTGGATGGTTGCAAGACTAGGAAAATCTGGAATTTGGAATTAATTGGAGAATACGAGAAAAAACTTTCATATATTTCCTAATAATGTTTAGCGATTAATAAATATTAAAGAAAAAGCATTTTGAAGAGAACCATGATCTTCTAATAACTTTTTCCTCAAGTGTATTCGCTGTATTGATGAATGTACGTATGTATGTATAGGAGAGATGATACAAACATCGCCGTTAGCAATGGCCAAATACTACAACAGAATTATATCGACTAGAATATATACAGTTTAAAACGAAATGCTCTTAATTTGAAGGAGGAATAGTGAAAAGACGAATAGTATAGAAAATTATGGAGATCCGTGGTTGTCCACGTCCTCAAGGGAGACGGCTCATAGAAGAATATTGCAATTTTAACAATGGGTTAATTAATGTAAAATGTTTTTATGAAACAATAATGTATTGAATCAATCTTATATAAGAAAAAGTAGGAAGCTATCACTCCATTTTAATTTTCTCCAAAGCAAATATATTTTTATTATGTTATCAGGGTATATATAATTAAATAATTCCCAAAACATGTCACGAAAAGACCCTTAAACATCGATAATCTGACAGGTTCCTTTACATGTTTCAGATATCAAATAACTCTTTAAATATACCAGGAAAAATAATATTTCAATATCAGTCGAGTATAATAGCCCATCATTATATATTATAATAGCTTATCATTATATATTATAATAGCCCATCATTATATATTATAATAGCTTATCATTATATATTATAATATCCCACCATTATATATTATAATAACCCATTATTATATATTATAATAGCTCATCATTATATATTATAATAGCCCATTATTATATATTATAATAGCTCATCATTATATATTATAATAGCCCATCATTATATATTATAATAGCACATCATTATATTAATTCAGTAGATAACAATTAAATAACACAAGAATTAATTTCGGTCGCAAATTTGTAATCATAGGAACAGATGTGAGTATATCAGTTTGAACAGATATAGAATTGTTTAAGTTATTCCCAGAATCCCAAACAAGAAAACGCATTCCTGATGGAAACTGGCAAATAAGTGAGTCCATGTACTGAAACATTCAAATGAACGTACGAACCCATTACAAACACAATGAAGGAAAAGTCTTTATTCCAAAACCGATACGTTGTGAATTATTTATATACAATGACATTTAATCCTGATACGAACCGCTGTTCTGAAATCAAATAAATTCCGCTGTCAGTAAAATGCTCTTGGGCAAAATCTTCTTCTCAAGAATCAAGCAGTGTTTGGCGCATGCTCATTTGAATGGTGGAAATTTCGCCTGACAAGCTAAGGTCAGACCAAGAGAAATAACGACTAGCCGACATGCGGTCTGATAGCGCAGTGGGAGTACTGTATGCATAAATTGGTTCGTTCGCTAGTTCTCCATGGCTGTTTGCATAACAAACTTAAACCAAACTTCAAAACGAAGCATAGTGAATCTGTCAGCGGCAATTAGACATATTTTATGAACGTGCATCTATAAATCAGCGTGTTTTAATAATTTACAGGCAAGCAGAAAATATCTGTCAAATAAATCGTCCGGCGTTCAGAAAGGCGGGAGTAAAGTGAATACATCGTAATACTGATTCAGTCACTGAATGTGAAGTTAATAAGAGGTAATATTACGAAAAGCTAAATAAAACAATGAAAACGTTTTAAGTGTCTGAGAGAGAAAATTAACTCTAAAAGATTCTAAACGTAACCATTCTTTCGGTGCGGTATTGAAAAGGTAAAGAAACTAGAATCAAACAAATAAACATTGAGCATCATTCGCCTCGCTGGCGTACTGACATTATCACCGCAGAGATAGCTTTATAGTCTTTGGTATTCTTTGTGTAGGGAGAAAACAACAATTTTCGTTTAATGCAGTTAGCATTGTGGATGTTTGTTTGGGTGTATCTTGGTGTGTTTTTCTTTCTTTAGAATTCAACTTTTGTGGAGTCGTGAATTGCATTCTTGCGAGTGTGTAGCCAGTGGCATTTACCATAAAAGGTCGCCAAGTGGCAATGCATTAGTATCAGATAGATGCAGAGATTGGAATGAAAAACGAATTGGATAAAGAGCTGGGTTGTAGAATAAAAAGAACTAAAGAAAAGGGAAATATGACATTGTATAAGAATGAACTAGAGAGGAGGAGATTGATAACGTGACATTAGGGCAATATAAAGTTTTCAAGTAGTGACTAAGAGGAAGGAATTTAGAGAAAAATGAAATGATAATAAATAAGAAATATAAAGGGAGTCAGGTAATGTGACATAAAGAAAATAATGGGAAATTGTGAATGAAGAAAGATGTGTAAGGAATGAATTATTCATAGAGGAAGGAAGAAAGAAAGCAAAAAGAAAGAAATAAATAAAGAAGAAATAATGTGAAAAATGGAAATGAAAAACAAATGAATGAATAATAAAAAAAGAAAGAGCTAAAGAAAAAGAGATGCATGAAGAAAGAATAATGTTGACGTAAAGAAAGAAAAATGGAGATGAAAAAAAAACAACCGAATGAAATAGCAAACAAAAGGAGAAAAAAAATAAAGAAGGAAAATAATAAAAGACGAAAAAAAGAAAAATAATTGTTGAAGGAAGTTGAAAAAATATAGAAAAAATATTAAAGGAATAAAAAAAAAAAACAGAAAGAAAGAGTAAAGAAAATAAGAGTAAAGAAAAAGAAAATACAAAAAGAAATAAAGGATCAAATGAAAAATAAAATATAAAAGAAATGAAAAAGAAAAAAAGGAAAATAAAAAAGAATGCAAGCAAAATTAAAAGAAAATGCATAAAAATAAAGACAGAATAAAAAGATGAAAATGATTATAGTGTAAAGAAAGGAAATATTAAATGATAAAAAACAAGAAAATGGATAGAAGAAATGGAAGAAAAGAAAAACAACCAAAAAATAAACATGATTCACGGGAAAGAAAAAAAAAAGATTTTATGAACAAAATAATTATTTATTTTTCTTACAGGAAAAAAGCAAAAAGTGAATGTATATATACAGGGGGACTCAAAAAAATGGGAACATTTTAACAATCCAATAAAACGAAGAGTGATGGAAGAAAAATATTTTATTCATAGTAATTGAAACCTTAAAACATGCCATTTAAGAAACAATGATGGAATTTTCATTTCTTAAAAATTACATCCTGTAGATGGCGTCCTCCTGTACGAATGCATTCTTGAAATCTGCTGTTGAGATTCCTCATTGACTGCTGCAACATCTCAGCTGGGATACTGTGAATTGCATCTTGAATTCTAAATGGCGAAATGTTTACTTGCTTAAGGTCACTGTCTCGCAGTGTTGCCATTTGCTCATGTCTGGCAATACGCACTTCAAAAATTCCCGTTTTTTGGCGTCACACTGTACAAGGATCGACTCATGAAAAAGTGCAATTCTTACTAATGATCGTTTCTTTTTTTAGATTTTTGCAAATAAGTCGGCTTGACAACTTTTTCCGGAAATCGTTATAGAAAAAAAAGAAACTACTATTTCGAAAGTAAAACAGAAGCGGGATTTCGTAGAATAAAAAATATATAAAAACGAGTTAAAGTATTCGGACTTAGAAAAAAAAAAAAACGATAATTTTTTTTTATGAGAACCAAATCAAATAGAATTGCAGAAGAAAGATATTGAACTAACTGATCAATGGAACTGTTAAATAAAATAAACAAGAAGAGGTGCCCATTTAGAATAAATTAGGAAATAAGTTTTACCATAAATTAAATATTTAATTTAGATTATTTAATTATTTTTGTTATCAAAAAATAACAGTCAACGACAGGGAATACTACGCCATAGGCTATATTATTTTTCTATGTGCTGTGTCACATCGGAACTTGAGCAGTCGTGACTCGACACAAATTACTATCCTTTGTAACTCTTAATAATGTATCTCATTTTACCACTCCCAGTTCGCTCATATTTTCAAGTAAACGCGTCAGGTACGTGACTAGATTCTTCCCCTTTTCGTTTTTTTTTTTTTGCTTTCGATATGTCCTGTACGTGTCAGATCTTCCCATTCCTCTTTCATCAATGTGTCCCAAAATTTCCAGGAATCGCTTTGGCAGACATTTAAACTTATGTCATTTTTCTCTTTCTGATAATCACATATTCTCTCTTACAATTGTTGCTTGTCTCTTTTCACTAGCTTTCTTTTACAATTCTGTCTAGGAGGTCCTGTATTTTGTTTGTCTGCTCTCAACAAAGAGTTATCTACGTATCTTACATGATTAAGATTGTTCCGACTAAAAATTAATCCTGGTCGGAAATAATATCAAATATGATTTTATTCTCGAAATCTTAACAAATACAAAAATAAAGAGAGTTTTTCAAGTCTGTTTTTCGTATAAAGAAAGATATAGAGTAACATTTAATTAGAATGAAATAGAAAAGATGGCGTGTTTGATTTTTTTAGTACAATAAAAGAGAAGTGAGAGGTGTCTGCCCTCTCTCTTTCTTGTTCCATCATTCTCTTTCTCTGTTTCTTTCTATCATTCCTCTATCAGATCGCTACGGTAATCAATCGATTATGATTTTCTAGAACTTTCGTGATCATGCTCCTCTAATTATTTCTTGCTTATTTACAAGCAAACTTTCTGTGACAACGGTTGCATCAAACAAAAGCAGAAAAAAAATCATATAAAGCAAGTCACACGCTGTTTTCACCTAATTCTCTGTCCTTCAGTTTACTGTGTGTGTGTGTTAATTTCTCGGAAACGTCTTTCCTCATAAAAGAGTTACATCGATTTCACTTGCGCTGTTGTTGTTGTTAACAACATTCACTTTGTATAAGGTCATCCCATAAGTTCTGTCTGAATTTTGAATAATGAAAACAAGTGACCAAATGTTACAGATTCAATCAACAATGTATTTTCCCTGATTATCTATGACTTCTTTCCATCTATTTACAAGCTTACTAATTCCATTACTGTAAAATTCTTTGGGCTTTGATTCAAAGAACGCACAAAAGTCAGTTTTAACCTCTTCCTGTGTGACAAAAGCTGTTTCTTCCAAATGATTCTGTAAACTACGAAACGAATGGTAATCTGAAGGAACAAGATCGGGAGAATAGGGTGGATGGGGAATTTTCTCCCAACCAAGTTCTTCGATCTTTTGCGACGTGATTCTTGCTGTGTGGGGTCGCGTATTGTCCTGATGAAACATCACCCCTTTTCGATTCACTAGAGAAGGTATTTTTCCTCAAAGCATGGTTCAAACGCTCTAATTGCTGACAGTATATTTGAGCATTAATTGTTGCATTAGGTGGTACGAATTCAAAGTGGATTATTCCTTGGCGATCCCACCAGATTGAAAGAAGAACCTTTTGCCCATGAAGTTCCCTTCTCGGCTGTGGCTGGGGTCCTTCCCCTTTACCAATCCACTGTCTACGACGCTTAACATTTCGATAAAAGATCCATTTTTCGTCGCCAGTCACAAGTCTATCCAAACAAGGTGAAACAATTTGGCGAGAATGGAGAGAAGAGCAGATGTCAACTCGGGATTTGAGGTTGCTTTCAGACAATTCATGAGGCACCCATTTTCCAAGTTTAGGAACTTTTCCAAGTTGTTGAAGATGACGATGAACAGTTGTAAGGTTTGAACTGAGAACCACTGCCAATTCCTCAACTGATAAAGCAGTATTTTCTTCACGGTCTGCTTCAAGAAGCTTTTCAGCAAACTCAACTGGACGTCCGGTTCGATCTTCATCTTCAAGGGAGAAATCTCCACCTCTAAATTTTGTAAATCATTTTCTACAAGTTCTTTCATTCACACATTCCTCTCCATAAACTGAGTGAATGTTTCTAGCCGCTTCGGCTGCTGAGTTTCCTTTCTTGAACTCATAAGCATTATGTGCCTCAAATGATTCTTGGGTACTTCAAGGTTAACAGGGTTTTAATCAAACAAAATTTAATTTTATTTTTCTCTGAAATAAAATTTGATCAGTTTAAATGCATCTAAAGATAAAAATAATGTTCAGCTCCATTAGACATTATAAAATACTCTTTAAATTTCGTTCGTTTTAACAAAAAGTTAAAATTCGGACAGAACTTATGGGATGACCTGATAGGTCTTTTCCCCTTAAATTCTTTTTTATATTGCCTACGTATATTTTCTATTCCCTGTTATCTTTCTAATTTTCGTAAAATCCCATTTAATTGTGCCAATAAACATTCGGAATTCTGTGTCACAATTTCAGTTTTCTGTTGTTATCAGAAAGAGAAAGTTAAATTACCACATCTACATGAATTCTACACCAAGTTTAAGTAAGCCACATGTTGTTATATCCCTATTACTGAAAACAGTTCATTTTGATTTTATTGGTAATAGTTAGTCCACTGTCTTGCTATCCCCCATCATATCATCTAATAGTTATTTTATGTGTCTATATTTCTGAGATGATGTATTATGTACACTATTTACATCATTCGGACTATTGTCCTCATCTTTGTCGCCATGTTTATCACAACGTTTATCCATTAGACATGACACGTGGAACTAGAACAGTGTACCCCAGTGAGCAAAATAAAGGTTTCAGTTCGACATTCCAACCACCTGAAGTAGACCGGAGAGTACAACGGACGAAAACTTGTGATTAACATGGCGACAAAGATGAGGAGAATAGTCCGAATAATGTCTGTAGAGTATAGTCATATTTGTTTCGTTTTGGAACTGGCATCAAGGAAGTGTCTTCTGTGTAGCCTATGTTGTTACAGTTACTTAAATAATTAATCCTGACAGATCTTCCAGTCGTCTTTAAATGACCATTCTGTACAGGTTGAATAAATCCTGTAAGAAAAGATATTTTGTAGCAATATATATATTTTGTATATAAACTCGTTCTCTATAAGCATGAAAACTATTTGTTTCCAGCAAAGACTAGGGATTATTTGAATATCATTTCTGTGTAGATCAAGCATTTACAAAATGTCCAGGAAAACATAAAATATAGACAAAAAATAATGTCGAAAGGGAGAATGCAATTAAAAAAAAAATAATTGGAAACAATATGAAACATTTCTTTAAATTCATATTTAACGGGTTAAAATTGTACACTAGAAGAAGCAGGATTTTGATAATAAGAACTCAAAAATTGAAAGAATCCTTCAACCAAGAAATGGGATTGCTTAGTATGTTGAGGTATATAGTGTTTTTAATATGATAAAATGATAATTTGAATAAAAATTGTATTAGATTCATTGATAAATGAAAATTAAATTGCGAAAGACAAAAATGTAAATATAATAATTTAACGTTTTTTTTAAACAATAAATAAATAGATTGTTTTGTTGTTGGTGTTGACAACAAAATGTTTTCGCCTATCTAGAAAAAAAAATCGTTGTCACGTTTTTTGATTGGTCGAAATAATGTGTTAGCTGAAGTTATCTCTATTATGCGCTGTGCCTCTCTGTGCGAAAGTTTGAGTTCACTTGGCCGAAAACATCTTGGTTTATTAATAGATTCGTAGATTATAGACAATACAGCTACAGAATATTTGGAAAGGAAAAGATGAGAGTGAAAATAATCGAAAGGAAATTGCGAATTTATATGAAGAAAGCAGGAAGTCGAGTTTGAATAAAACGATAATGGGGATTTTCGTAAAGGATAGAAGGTAAGACAATCAGAAATATGTTTCGTTATATAAAATGTTAAATTAAAGTTTGACACGAAAACGAGAAAAAAAAGTTTGGTATAATAAGACGGAATTGCTAAGCCATATAAAGAAAGTAGAATAATTGGCGTAGATATTAAAGACTAAAAGAGAATATCAGAAAACATCCGT